CCTTGACCTATTAGTTAGGCGGCACGCGACGCGTCGCTTATCGGTCACGCGTTGCGCGCCTGCCAATCCCTGCATAGGCCTAATACTCTCTTTCTCTCTCTCTCTTTCTCTCACTCTCTCTCCGCGCTCTTCAACTTTTCTTGCGCTCAACTGCGCTGGCTCGTCCTTAGCGCTGAAACAAAAGACCAAGTGTTAGGCGCATACTTAAATGCGCCCAACGTTGGCCACCACGCTTAGCCGAGTGGGGGAGGGAGAAACGCGGACGAGAGACGGGCAAACGGCCTGCTCTCGTCACAACCTTGGAGTGCATTTCGATAGCCATATGAGATTGGACATGCATACAAACATGCTATACAATAGACTAAAATATCTAACTTGTATTTTCTACAAATTATCTAGGATAATGAGCACAGATAATCTACGTATGATTTACTATGCACTTTTTCATAGCATAACAACATACGGTATTATAGCATGGGGTGGAGCATACATTGGAAGTCTCAAATATATACAAACTCTACAAACACGACTATTACAAATAATAAATAAAAACAAGTTTATAAATGAAAAAAATCCACTAAACATAGATCAAACATTCACCATGGAATCTCTAGTGTATCACTATGTCAACCTGCAAGATATGTTCCTGAAGAAAAATTCCGTAACAAGGAAAAAAACTATACAGCCCCTTAAAAGAAAATTAACAATCAGCATTAAAGATAGCTATACAAGAGCTTTAGCCACCTTCAATCAACTACCTTCTCACCTCAAAACTTTAAATGGCAATACAAAAACAATAAAGAACAAAATAAAAAAATGGATAAAAGGCCATCCATTCTAGATACAGAAATACAATGAATTACAAAATACATTGCAACAATTTACAACAAATATATTACAAACTAAAGCAACAAGGGAACTTTGATAATAGTCTACATTCAGCATTGGAAGTCCATGTGGATGTGGATAGGGATAAGTTTCTCTTGGATGTAAGGACATATTTGTGTTCACAAGGCACTTGTACACTTCATTACAATCGTTCTCATCGTCGAATGTCTGAATATAACATGAAAAAAATTAATGTATCAGATAACTACAGAAAAATAATAGAAACAATTGCTAATGTGATTAACATAGCTTGGAACTCACAACGGTTAACTATTAATACCAAAACAAAGACGGACTTAAAGAGGGAAAAAGAAACGAAACTTACATTCAAACAAAAACAGATACAACCAACATAAATTTCATTAATAAATGTGAGTATTGCACATACAAACAATTAATTGGTAACAAACATATACATTTCATAAAAGAAGAAAACAAAGAAGATCACAATGAACCAAAAACAGATAAAGTAAGATATAAGCCCATAGAAACAGTATTTAAACAAATAGATGACATTGCAGACAATAATAGTATGCAAATAGAAACAAGTAAACCAAAAAATACACCAGGAAAACCGATTCTACAAACAAATAATATTCGAATGACCTATGGAGACATCAATTATCTTGGAAACAATAAAGCATTATTATACTTTTATAGAGGTATCAGAGGATATCAAACTTTCACTAATTCATTGTACTCACTTGAACAACAACCTAAATATAAAGATTTGATAGTCTTAGATGACATAGTATTCACAGCAACATGTAAATGTGATTCACATAGACAACATACTGAAATGTTCCCTCACTATAGAGTCACGTGTGCTACAGGACTTACTTGTCCTGTTAGACTAAATACATACGAAAGAATATCATATGCAAGAAAAATGAAAGCATCAATGACGACAATCGTAACGGCCAGACAAATGTTAATCAGATATTGGAGATAGCAGAACAAAATCGAAGATAATTGGTGAAGTAAGCTTTTATAGGAAGCATTCTTGCTACCAATATTAAGCCATACTTCATCTGTGAAATATTATAATCTATTACAAACCGACTCTTAGTTTTAAGTTTTTTGTTTTTTTTTTATTTTTTTATTTTTTTCTTAATTTTCTTTGTTTTTTTTTTTTATTTTTTTTCTTAATTTTCTTTAAGTGTTTAGTAGTTTTTAAATACCAGACCAGCGAACAGGTTTATCCTCTGCCGGGTTACAAATTTGTAATTGTAAAATTGTATAATTATTACTACTTGTTGTAATATTTTGTACTATACTCTGGTTAATAATAATAATAATAATAATAATAATATAAAACGAAAGTATTAATTTTATACTTAATAATGATAACTTTATGATTTAGGAATCTTAGATTATTAATCTAATAATTGCATTATAAGATTAGAAAAAACCGTTACAAATATGAAAAATTAGTTATAATTCAAATGTTATTAACTAATTTAAATATTTATTTTTAGAAAATACTTTGTAACGGTCGTGATTTATCTAAATAATAAATCGGTGCTCGTTAACAAAATAAGTTACTGTCACTCCCACGTTGCGAAGCTAACCGCCGCTTCGTTGAAGGAAGACTTACCTCCCGACTGTGGTGTCGACTACTTCGTCGGATGCGTGCTCGACATACTGCTTGCGCGGGGGAGTCGGTGGGTTCGGATAGCTGGGCAGAGGAGATACGTGTGCTTCTGCCCACGTTAGTAAACAAGGCGGCCGATTAATTGCAGACACCTTTTATTCGTCTAGCGGTTTGCTTACACCCCGCAGAGAAAGAGGCCGAGAGCTTTACTCAGTGACGCGTCGCTGCGTCGCGCAACGACGATACGCTAGGTTTTACCGCGAGAGAGAGAGAGAGAGAGAGAGAGAATGAGAGATATAAACGGACCGATTCTCGCACGCTTAATAAAACATAATCTTTTCGCAGATAATTGTACGCCGGTGAGATTACTCACTCCTTCTCGTTGTAGTCCCGCGCAAAACCCCTATCAACTCTTCGGTTGCCGGCCCCGTGCGCTGGCTTTCGTCGCCCAGGAGGTGCTTTCTTCTCTCTCCTCGAATTCCTTCAGCACTCGTTGAAGCTTTTGTAACTTGGGCGACGGCACTCACTCTTGGCGCACTTAACTCGATGCACCTATTGGATCCAGTTTCCAATCCTCGTACTTTTGCACTCCTTAGCTCTCTTTTCTTCTAATTCTTAGTTTCCTTTCTTTATACTGATCCTCTCGATAAGCCGGTTCACACGTGAATGTCGCTCGCGCCTGCCCCCACCCTCTCTCTGTTCTCTCCACTCGCGCACGGTTTTCTGCGCAGCTGGCCCGCGCACGACACGCGCTGGCCCTCTATTAAGTTGATTTTTCCCTTAACGAGCAGGCTCGTTACAACTTCCGAAATTAATCAACTATAAAGTTATATAAAAATTTAATAATTTTCTATTGTAAATATTGTAATATCACGTTAATTAACTTTATTGGTTAATAACTTTTGACGACACTATTTGCGATAATTGTATATTGTATAAAATTAACAAATAACAAATTCTGTAAAGTTTACATGTGTTAAAAGCTGTGACGGTAAACGTCAAATTAGCTCTGACAACCTAACTTAATCGCTGTCTGGGAGGGCAGCACCTACCGGGGGGACGAAATACGTAACGAAGGAATTCGGCACGCGAGCAGACAGAACGCGCGCGATTGAAACCGAACTAGTGAAGCATTGACCATCATTGAGTTCGCCCGCTTTCGTTTCGCTATCGACGATCTACGTGCCGTTAACGCCAACGTATCAAAGAAGGACGTGCAGATAAGTACCGGTTAGCTGTGACCGCTGTCGTCAAGGTGCCTTTCAGCAGCCCAGGGGAGAGACCTGAGCCAGCGAGGAAGCGCAGACCTCCAGGAGACCGGCAGAGTGTGTGTGGTTTCGCCATCGAGGGCGAAAGCGTGTGTGCGCGCATTCGCGACCGGCAAAGACAAACAAAAACAATTCCGCGCAGTGTGTGACTGTCGTTTTCTCCGTACGCCTGCAATAATAAGGTAAGCCGGCCAACTTAATCTCGCGATCGCGGATGCATATTCAATAATTAATTTTCCGACATTCGAAACGTGCGTATAGCGCCTCTAATAACAAAGAGCAGCGAGCGTCCCGACAATACGTGTTGTCGATGAGCGAACGTCGATGTAAACAAACGCGCGGGTCGACCTTATGTAGTATTTGAGGAATAATAAAAGGTTTAGTTCGTGTTACTAACAAGTGTTTTTCGACTCGCTTACTCCTCACAGCTTCCACTCAACTTATTATAGGTTAATTAGGATTACTGGTTGACTGACGCCTGTCTTCACATGCTCTCAGGATTGCATTTTGAGCATAGATAATTACTTTCGCCCCTTTGATTTAATTGCGCGAATAAAATATAATTAAACGGTTTTACCCCGTTACAAAGCTTACTATGGTTATTTACTTGTAATTTAAGAAAACTCATTTCTCAAAATTCACGAATGTCTCTCGAATGTTCGATGACATCTCTCCTGCAAAAATAAGCGGGAAAATCTGTGTATAAATACGCCCACCTTTGCACAGGCTAGCATTCACTTCTAGCCTTGCAAGGTGAGCGCATGAGTCTGAATAAACTTGGTTAATACCTAAGTTCTCATTGTAATTAACTGAGCAAAACTGTTCTTTCCTTATAAGTCGAGCTCGACTTATAGAACATCTCGCGCTATAAGAAACTTGGGCCGAATTATATCCTATCCAAGAAAGACTTTAGCTCTGCTTATGTGACAATTCGCACCATAAGAAACTAGGGCATCGTCTGACTTTCCCTGAAAAATTATACTTATTTATATATATTTGATTTGTTTATTAGAGTACATTTGATTTATTTATTTATCGACAAGTAGAGTAAAATTATTAGAAACAAATTCTTACTTATTAGCTAGATACGAGAGTTCGAGAATGATTATTATTTATAAGTGATACGAACATCACATGTTTACAAATGAATAAAGTAAATAATTAAGACATGATTTCTGATGTATTTTGACCCTTTGAATTCAAATCTATAATCATATAAAAGCTTTTATTTAATTTTTTCAGGAAATATCTCCAAAAATAAATAAGAATAAAATATATGAGAATGAAAAAAGTATCAACAAATCAGCTAGTGATCTAAGAAAAAAATCAATCAACTTCCTAGATCACCAATACGATGAACAAAATACAGACATTTTACGCGAAGAAATAGAAGATATATATAATATACAAGGAAAAAATGAAAAGCTACTATTGGAAGAGAAAACAATCTATTTAGGGAATTCATCAAAACTGGACTATCAGAATACAAAATGTATATCTTCCACTAACTTACTAAAGAAAAATATTGTAGAAAGGAATATAGAAATTGTAAATATAGAACAACATCTTCAGAAATTACTCCGAAGGTAATCTTTAAGAGATTTATTTTTCCGTATAGACATTTATCCTATATTTATCCTATATTTATTATTCGTTCGTTAATCATATATAAGAGTTGTGTCAGCATATGTATTTATACATGCAAAGTTAAAAGTAATGACAGCATTAGTATAAGTATTACATCAATTTATTTAACTGTTGTCTCCATAAGTACCTAATTTAATCCCTCTAAGTATATGTTCAACTACTAATGTATACATATAAAATAAAATATCGTGTATTTATATGTAGGTACGATCAATACAAAATTCACTTACGTATTTAATCGTAATAAGTATGCATAAAATGATGAATAAATGAGAGATATACGATATAGGAAACTCCATTAATTTGAATAAAATATGAAACGTACTGTTAAAGTATGTAAACTTAAACCAAGAAGAGTAACTTGCTCACTTTTTTCCGTCGTGATAAACTTGAGAGTAGGGGAACCCAACCTCTTTTTCATGGAGAAAATTGAATAAACTGGCTTATTGGTTGATACAAAAGCATTTATTCATTTTTAAAATTTTGTAACAAAACTCCTTCCTTTGTTACCAATTCTTTGCGGGGTAAGTGAGGCACTTTCGCTCAAGGCAATTGAGGGAGAGAATGAGGAGAGGCTGATAAATGAATTAGAGAAAGACAGGAATCAAATCTCACTTACAACCTATTATTATTAATCATTATTCACACTAAACATACGCACGCATAACATAATCTAAATTACCGACCAACAAACTACAAATAGAACAATAAACTACTTAAGACAATCACAAATGAACATTTCGCATTTCATCTTAATACCTTGTTACGTCTCGTGCACCAACTACGAATAGCTAATGAAAGAGACGTTCCAATATGTTGACTAGTGGTCGGATACGAGGTGTGTTCAAAAAGTAACGAGAATTTTTAAATTTCGCTGGTTTGGAGAGTCCGCTTGTATAAAACTTTTTTTTATTATGTTGGTACACATGCCCATGAAGTACGTTAAAATTTTCAGCAATATTCATTGCTTACTTTTTAAGTGGCAGCCGCTAACGTTAGACGTGTTTTTCGAGCTCGGCGATTTTCGTTTGTGAAAAAAAATGGATCAAAGAATTTGTATTAAATTTTGCGTAAAAAATGAAATAAAGTGTAGTAAAGTTTGTCAAATGTTAACAAAGGCATATAGTGAGTCTGCTATGAGTAAAGCAAGGATTTATGAGTGGTATAAGCGTTTCCAAGATGGCCACGAAAACGTTGAAGATAACGAACGACCCGGACGCCCAAGCACATCAACAACCGATGAAAACGTGAAAAAAGTGAAAGAAATGGTTATGAACGATCGCCGAATAACAATCAGAGAAGTCGCTGATGATGTTGGCATATCAATTGGCTCATGCCATCAAATTTTTTTGAATGTTTTGGGTATGAAACGTGTGGCAGCAAAATTCGTTCCAAAATTGTTGAATTTCGAACAAAAACAGCGGCGAATGGAAGTTGCTCAGGAGTCGCTAAATGAAGTCAATAATGATGCAGAACTACTAAAACGTGTTATAAAAGGTGACGAAACATGGGTTTACGGATATGATGTCGAAACTAAGGCTCAATCGTCCCAGTGGAGGCATTCTGGATCGCCAAGACCGAAAAAGGCTCGACAAGTACGGTTGAATGTGAAGGTTATGCTCACTGTGTTCTTCGATTTTAATGGCATAGTGCATTATGAATTCTTGCCACAAGGTCAAACAATCAATAAGCAGTACTATCTACAAGTTCAACGTCGTTTGCGTGAAGCAATCCGAAAAAAACGCCCGGATTTGTGGCAAAACAATTCATGGCTTTTGCACCACGATAATGCGCCTGCTCACACTTCATTGCTTGTTCGTGAATTTTTGGTCAAAAACGAAACTGTAACGATGCCTCAGCCTCCATATTCGCCAGATATGGCTCCATGTGACTTTTTTCTATTTCCAAAAATAAAGAGAACATTAAAAGGCCGTCGTTTTACAAGCATAGATGACATTAAAAGCGAATCGCTGAAAGAGCTAAAAGCTATTACAAAGATCGAGTTTCAAAAGTGTTTCGAGGATTGGAAAAAGCGTTGGCATAAGTGTATTGTATCCGAAGGGGACTACTTTGAAGGCGACAACATTAATGTAGATGAATAAATAAATATTTTTTTCATAAAACGAAAATTCTCGTTATTTTTTGAACACACCTCGTATGTCTCACTTATAATAAATATATGTGGAAATGTATGTCTGATAATTGTACTACCTTGATAATCGTAGCCTTTAATTGTTGATAAAATGTAGCAGGCTCTAACTGCTTGTTGAATTAAATAAATGTAGCAGGCTCTAACTGCTTGTTGAATTGAATAGGATAGGTTTGAATAATACTTGCACGATATTACTTTGTAACAGTCGCGAGTTTATTAAGAAAAATGATCACCAATTGTCGGACCGGTGTGTACGGAGTTGAGTCTTACAGGTGCTTATTGACTGACTGACGGACTACTGATCAACTGCCTGAGTGTGTTTTGTTCATTGATTTTTATATCTTTTATAGTTCTTTTTCAGGTCAGTATTGCGATATTGTGTGACATTTTGTTTTCGCTGATTATAAATTCTTGCATTTTGGTGACTTAGTTTCGGAGTGTGTTTCGACAGCTTTTTGCTGTCGTGTGAATAGCTTAGCAGTTTTGAATGTGCATATGTTACAAAAAGGATGCGTCGTAAGGCTTAATTTCGGGGAGTCATTTACCTCGTGTTTATTTAGCTTTTTGCTGACGTGCGAATAGTTTAGTAGCTTTGAATTTCGCAAATGTTTATTTTATAAAAAGGATGCGTCGTAAGGCGTAACACCCCAGGGCCTAAGATATTGTAATATTTGCATACTTCTGAAATTCAAAGCTACTAGCGGTTTATACTGTTACGTCCTGAGACGTAAAATTAAATCATTTTGAGATCAACGGCAATCATGCGAATTGAAAGTAGCAAAATAAGCACAAAATGTATTTCACCTTCTTTTTTTTACGAAACGCAAAAATTAATAAATCAAATTCAGCAGAAAACTCAATTGAGAAATTGAAACATCAACTTGATTACTCGACAACTAAATGTAAGTCAGTAAGCCAATATATAAAACAGCGTCTCAATTTTTTAGCCAGTTGATTCGCGACTCGCGACAATTCTACTGTACCAGTTGACTCTGCCACTCATTGAGTGAAATCCAATTATTAAATAAAGTGTTATTAAATATTATTAAATAAAGTGTATCAAGTTCATTTCTATAATTTCCATATGAAATATTCTCAATAATAAAGAAACCAATTTAAGAAGAAAATAATATAAAGGAACAAGGAGTAAGATAATAATTTATCAACATCTTCAACAAATTATATATATATCCCAGGTAAGTCCTGCCATTATACATAATATATCATAATCATACCGTGATAAAATAAATTTTACTCATATTAAACAAATACATGTCACGGCTACGGAGTCGCGACATAACAAATTGGTTCCGGTACAAAAAGGGTGTTTACTTTGCATCAAGTAAAACTTAAAAAAAAAAATTTTAATTTTAATGAACAATAAAGATTCTTCTAGTTCTGACAACGCGAAAAGACTTACGCGACTGCAAGTAAAAACTAAACCAGAATTAAAAAGCGGTATAATTAAACCAAGCACATCTATTACAAATCCTTTTAAAAAATCAAATAAACTCGCGCGTTCTCCTCCTAGAACAAATAGCGAGAACAATAAAATAAAAATTTCAGAAAATCTAGAGAAGTTAAATAAACAAATAACACAAGAAAAATTAATTGATATTTGTAGTGAGTCAAAAAACTTATTAAACAAAAACGAAAATTTCGGACAATTAGTGCCTTATAATTCAAACATCCAATTACAGAAAACTGAACAAATCGAAAATATTAATACGAAAGCAAACGTCAGCGAAATGTCGCAACCGCTGAGATTACCACTCAAGTATGTCGCGGATTTAGTCCCACAGTTCGACGGCAAAAACATAACACTCAGCGAATATATCGACAAATTAAAAACTGCAAAGTCAATAGTTTCTGAAATAGATGAATCAAATTTAATACCAATTTTAAAATGCAAGCTAAGTGGAGAAATTTATAAAGCACTAGCTAATATAAAAATCAATAAAATAGACGATTATATTAAAGCTATAAAACAATTATTTCCTTCTTTAGATAATATTCATAGTTTATACGGGAAACTTACGGATATTATTCAAAAACCAAACGAATCAGTTCTTACATATGCAAATCGGTTGAAAGATCTAGTTGTACAGATCAAAGAATTAAAAAAACTACAAGTAGATACTGATGAAACCTTTAAGGCATTTGAAAAAACAATAAATGAAGACGCATTAATAAATTTTAAAAATGGCTTACAACAAAATATTCGAATCGAATTAAAAGATTATAACAATTTAAGCACTGCTGTACAAGAAGCCATACAAATCGAAACAAAATTCAAAAAACATAAAATATTAATAGGTGGAATTACCGACATTACCCAAAACACACCTGATTCAACTACCGTTTCGGCAAATGTTAATAATATTTACAATTGTCAAATCTGTGAAAGCTACAATCATGAAGCTTTATTTTGTCACAACGGGTCATGCGTATACTGCAAATCTAACGACCATTTATCAAACAATTGTAAAGTGGCAAAATCAAAAATCGAACTCATATGCAAATTTTGCAATGCTAAAGGACACTCAATAGACGGTTGCAAATTTAACAAAATAAAAGGAAACCATTGCCAATACTGTCAAGTGATGGGACATTCTGTCATACAATGCCCATTCATTACAGAATACGAAGTATGTTGGAAATGTAAAGAAAGTGGACACAGCCCATACACCTGTTTAAAACCTCTTAAAACACCAGATCCTTGTGCGGCTTGTGACAGTACAGGACACACAGTATTGAATTGTCCAAATGTAACATGTAAACGTTGTA